ACCCAGCAAACCTCTCAGTCATCATACATGGAGAAAACAAGATATTCAACGAAAAAAAAAAAAAAAGAAAAAAACAAATTTAAATAATACCAACCCACAAATCCAGTGTTACAGAAGATACTAGAAGAAAAAATACAATCCAGGAAATCTAACTGCATTCAGGAAAACACAAGAAATGAATAACCTCACAGCAAAATTAATAGTAGCCAAGCACACAAACACACTGCCACAACCAATAGCAGAATGAAAGCATCAAACAGCCACTGATCAATAATCTCTCTTAACATCAATGGATTCAACTCTTCAATAAAAAGACACAGACTAACAGAATGGATATATAAACAAGGTGCAAATATACGTTGTATACAAGAAACACACCTAAGTCACAAAGATAGACATTACCTGAGAGTAAAGGGTTTGAAGACTGTTTTCCAAACAAATGAACCCAAGAAGCAAGCAAGAGTAGCCATTCTAATATCAAATAAAATAGATTTTCAACCAAAATTAATCAAAAGAGATGGGGAAGGTCATTTAATACTAATAAAAAAAATCCACCAAGAAGACATCACAATTCTGAACATCTATGCCCCAAATACAAGAACACCCTCATTTGTAAAAAAAAAAAAACATTAATAAAACTGAAATCACACATAGATCCTCACACATTAATAGTGGCAGACTTCAACACCCCACTCTCAACAAGTGACAAGTCAACAAAACAGAAATTAAACAAAGAAACAATGTCTCTAACAGAGGTCATGAATCAAATGAACCTAACAGACATTTACAGAACCTTACACCCAAACACAAAAGAATTTACCTTCTCAGCACCTCATGGAACCTTCTCCAAAATAGACCACATAGTTGGTCACAAAGCAAGCCTCAACAGATACAAGAAGATTGAAATAATCCCTTGAATCCTATCTGACCACCATGGACTAAAGCTGGACCTCAACAACGACAGAAAGAGCAAAAAGCCTACACACACATGGAAACTGAACAACTCGCTACTCTATGATAACTTCTTCTCTATGGGTCAGAGAAGAAATAAAGAAATTAAAGATTTCCTGGAATTTGATGAAAATAATGGCACAATATACCCAAACTTATGGGACACAATGAAAGCAGTGTTCAGAGGAAAATTTATAGCACTAAGTGCCTTCAGGAAGAAATTTGAAACATCTCATACAAGCAACTTAATGGCTCACCTGAAAGCCCTAGAAAAAAAGAAGCAGACACACCCAAGAGGAGTAGATGGCTGGAAAGAATCAAACTCAGGGCTAAAATCAATAAATTAGAAACAAATATAACAATTCAAAGAATCAATGTAACCAAGAGCTGGTTCTTTGAGAAAATCAACAAGATAGACAAACCCTTAGCCAAGCTAACTAAAAGGCAGAGAGATGCTATCCAAATGAACAAAATCAGAAATGAAAAGGGGGTCATAACAACAGATACTGAGGAAATCCAAACAATCATTAGGTCTTACTTCAAAAGCCTATACACCACAAAATTTGAAAATCTAAATGAAATGGACAATTTTCTTGATTCAGCTTACAAAAGTTGAATCAAGATCAGGTAAATAGATTAAAAAGAGTCCTATAACCCCTAAATAGAAGCTGTCGTAAAGTCTCCCTTCCAAAATAAAGCTCTGGGCCAGATGGTTTCAGCACAGAATTCTACCAGACCTTCAAAGAAGAGCTAACACCAATACTCTTCAAACTGTTCCACAAAATAGAAACAGAAAGAACATTACCAAACTCATTCTATGAAGCCACAGTCACCTTGATACCTAAACTTCACAAAGACCCAACAAAGAAAGATAATTCAGGCCAATCTCTCTTATTAACATTGAAGCAAAAATACTCAACAAAATACTCGCAAATCAAATCCAAGAACACATCAAAGATATCATCCACTATGACCAAGTAGGCTTCATCCCAGGTATACAGGGGTGGTTCATTATATAGAAATCCATCAATGTAATCCACCATATAAACAAACTGAAGGAGAAAACCACATGATAATCTCCTTATATGCTGAAAAAGCACTTGATAAAATCCAACATTCATTTATATTTAAAGTCCTGGAGAGATCGGGGATACAAGGCACTTACCTAAACATAGTAAAGGCAATATACAGCAAGTCTATAGCCAGCATCAAACTCAGTGGAGAGAAACTTAAAGCAATCCCACTGAAATTAGGGACAAGGCAAGTCTGCCCACTCTCTCTATATCTCTTCAACATAGTTCTTGAAGTCCTTGCTAGAGCAATACCACAAGTAAAGGAGACCAAGGGGATACAAATCAGAAAGGAAGAGGTCAAAGTTTTACTATTAGCAGGAGATATGATAGTATACATGAGTGACCCCCAAAATTCAACCAGAACTCCTTCAGCTGATAAACACCTTCAGCAAAGTGGCTGGATACAAAATTAACTCAAAAAAATTCAGAAGCTTTCCTGTATACCAAAGACAAAAGGGTCCAGAAAGAAATCAGGGAAACAACACCCTTCACAATAGCCACAAAGGACACAAATTACCTTGGTGTAACTCTAACCAAGAAAGTTAAAGACTTGTATGAAAAAAACTTCCAGTCTTTGAAGAAAAAAAAAAATGGAAGAAGAAATCGGAAGGAGGAAGGATCTCCCATGCTCATGGCTTGGCAGGATTAACATAGTAAAAATGGCCATCTTTCCAAAAGCAATCTACAGATTCAATGCTATTCCCATCAAATTACCAACACAGTTCTTTACAGACCTTGAAAGAAAAATTCTCAACTTCATATGGAATAACAAGAAACCCAGAATTGCTAAAACAATCCTCTACAATTAAAGATCTGGAGGTATCTGAAGCCCTGATCTCAAGCTGTACTATACAGTAACAATAATAAAAACTGCATGGTATTGGCATAGAAACAGAATGGTGGATTAATGGAATCAAATAGAAGACCCAGAAATAAACCCACACACTTATGGACACCTGATTTTTTATAAAGAAGCCAAAACCATACATAGAAAAATGATAGCATCTTCAACAAATGGTGCTGGTCTAACTGGATGTCTACATGTAGAAAAATGCAAATAGACCCATACTTATCACCCTGCACAAAACTAAAGTTTCAAGTGGATCAAAGACCTCAACATAAAACCAGACACACTAAACCTGTTAAAAGAAAAAGTGGGGAAGAGCCTTGAACTCACTGGCCCAGGACACAACTTCCTGAACAGAACACCAACAGCACAGGCTCTAAGATCAACAATCAATAAATGGGACCTCATGAAACTGAAAAGCTTCTGTAAAGCAAAAGACACTATCACCAAAACAAAACGACAAACCTACAGACTGGGAAAGGATCTTCACCAACCCTATATCGGACAGAGAGCTAATATCCAGAATATATAAAGAACTCAAGAAGTTAAAAAGCACCAAATCAAGTAATCCAATTAAAAAATGAGGTACAGAGCTAAATAGAGAATTCTCAATAGAGGAATATCGAATGGCAGAGAAACACTTAAAGAAATGCTCAACATCCTTAGCTATCAAGGAAATTCAAATCAAAATGACTCTGAGATTTTACCTTACACCCATCAGAATGGCTAAAATAAAAAACTCAAGTGACAATATATGCTTGAGAGGATGTGGAGCAAGGGGAACCCTCCTCCATTGCTGGTGGGAATGTAAACTTGTACAACCATTTTGGAAATCAATATGGTGCTTTCTCTGACAATTAGGAATAGTGCTACGTCAAGATCCAGCTATACCACTCCTGGGTATATATCCAAAAGAAGCTCAAGTATACAAGGACATTTGTTCAACCATGTTCACAGCAGCTTTATTTGTAATAGCCAGAAGCTGAAACAACTCAGATGTCCCTCAACTGAGGAATGGATACAAATATTGTGGTACATTTACACAATGGAATACTACTTAACAATTAAAAACAAGGAAAGCAGGAAAATTGCAGGGAAATGGTGGGATCTAGAAAACATCATCCTAAGTGAGATATCCTAGAAGCATATACTTACTTATAAGTGGATATTAAACATATAATATAGAATAAACATACTGAAATCTGTACACCTAAAGAAGCTAAGCAAGAAGGAGGACCCTGGGTAAGATGATCAATCCTCACTAATAAAGGCAAACAGGATGGAACTCGGAAGAGGGAGAAAATGGGACAGGAGCTTACCACAGAGGGCCATTGAAAGACTCTACCCAGAAGTGTATCAAGGCAGATGCTGAGGCTAATAACCAAACTTTGGGCAGAGTGCAGGGAATCTTATGAAAGAAGGGGGAGATAGAAAGACCTGGAGGGGACAGGAACTCCACAAGAAAAGCAACAGAACCAAAAATCTGGGCCCAATGGTCTTTTCTGAGACTGATACTACAACCAAGGACCACGCATGGAGATAACCTAGAACCCCTGCACAGATGTAGCCTGAGGCAGCTCAGTCTCCAAGGGGGTACCCTAGTAAGGGGAACAGGGACTGTCTCTTACTTAAACTCAGTGGCTGGCTCTTTGATCACCTCCCCCTGAGGGTGGAGCAACCTTACCAGGCCACAGAGGAAAACAATGTAACCAGTCCTGATGAGACCTGATAGACTAAGATCAGATGGAAGGGTTGGAGGACCTCCCCTATCAGTGGACTGGGGGAGGGGCATGAAGAAGAAAAGGGAGGGAAGATGGGATTGGGAGGGGATGAAGGAGGGGCTACAGTTGGGATACAAAGTGAATAAACTGTAATTAATAAAAATAAATAAATTATAAAAAAAGAACCACTGTTCTGAACACAGCAGGAAAAGAGAAAGTAATAGGAGTGAAACGTTGCCATTTTGTAATTTTTCTAATAATCCACAGCTAGTCAATTTAAAGGTTTTATTTTTTTCTCTAAATAGAATGAAATAACTATGAGAAAAATTGAAATGACAAGAGAAAAAGCATCTCCACAGAGTGTCCCTGTGTGTCTACCTTTGCCACTGGGAAGACAGGAGCACTTACTTGTTCACCTCGGAGTCCGGGGAGGCCTGGATGTCCTTTGAGACCCTATGAGGAAATAAATGAAGATACGGCATGGAAAGTCAACTCACACAAGGTAGTCAACTGCCTAAATATAGGTTGTGCGGTACTGGGAATTTTTGCTTCTTTGTTTACTTGCTCTATGTTTTAACACTGGACACTGAACCCGGAGCCTCACACATGCCAGACCCGTGATCATCTACTACTGAGCCATAACCCCAGCCCCTAATTAACTTTTCATTACTACTTCTGGTTCCCTAATTAATACAATATTCTCTCCGTTTCCTACTAAATTTGAATGAGTTTAATTTCTATTTAAAAAAAAAAACTTAATTCTTAAAATTAAGAATTAAGAGTTGGAAAAGGCTTCAATCTAGCAAAGAATCTGCTAAATTCACTGAGGCTTTTTGAAAATTGTGTTTAGCTGCGTAATATTGAGACAATATGCCTTCAGACATGATCTGTTTATAATTACTGAAAAGTTGGACCACATCCAGTCCTTTCTCTAATCCAGTCACCATCAAAATTCATGAATGAACCGACGAAGGAAAGGAGCTGTTCACAGAGCCATCCAGAGTGCCCTATAAAGCTGTCTAGCAAATCAACCACGGGAGTCTTTTCTAGGTGCGGGAACCAGGAACAAATGTTAATCTCTCATTAACACCCTAGGCTGTAAAATAGATGATATCATTCATCTTTCATTCTGCTGAGATCATTTTTGTCCTGTTTTCTTGTTCTTAACGGCATCTGACAGTAACCACCAGGGAGGACCTGAATGTGTCAGCGTTCTTGCTTTATGTTAACAGAAGAAACAAGGTAACAGAAGCAACTAATGTTTATTTAGACAAAATTCCTCATTCTCAGTGAGCTCATGGGCTAATGGCCAGGTTTGATACTGTCCTCCATTGGGCCAAAAGCCAACTACCATGGCTGAGGCCAGATGGCAAGGAATTCACTGAGGCCGGGTCTTGCTGGGTGGCAGTGCCATTTTTGCAGGCTCTCAGAGAAGAATCCCTGAGAAGGGGATTCTGAAAAAAGGGAGAGTAACTAGAAAGATGATGGCTCAGATCTTGATGTACCTATCAAACCATGAGATCTTCCACGCTGTTGGGTATGTTGTTTAACTCAGTTCTGTTTCCTCGTCTATGAAGTGTGGGGGTAACACCCACATCACAAGCCTGGGTGGCAGCTGCCTGAGATTTTGGGGAACAGTGACTTTAGTGCATAACAGCTCAAGGTGGTGGTCCTCTGAGGTGAGGCAGAACTCTCTCCTGGGAGACAGGAAAGGAAGAACAAGGAGCAGGATGGGAGGCAGACAAGTGAGAGGGGCTCTCCCACCACCATCTTTCTGAGTAAGGATGTCCTCATTCCCTTATTTTCACTCCTGTGAGCTCGAGTCTACAGTTACACGCTTCATGCGTTTCTCTGGGGTCCCCTTCCTCCCTCACCCACAGCGAAACTGCAGGCAGTTCTGGTCTCACGCCTCTGGACTGCTTTCCCAGAAGCTTCTATAACAGATAAATCTATGCTAGTGATGGTTTCTTCTGCAAGTACACCCCCTACCCCTTCTCAGGGATTCTTCTCTGAGAGCCTACGAAAATGACAGTGCCACCCAGCATGACCTGGCCTTAGTGAATTCCTTCCCATCTTTCCTCAGCCATCGGAGTTGGCATTTGACCCAGTGGAGGACAGTACCAAGCCATTAGCCTGTGAGATCACTTAGAATGAGTAGTTTTGTCTGAATCAACATCAGCTGCTTCTGTTACCCTATTCAGTTATCCTTTTCTATTACTATAAAACAGGAATGCTGAAACATACAGGTACTCCCCACTGGGGACTATGGGATGCTGTAAGACACCACAACATGGGAAAAATTAAGAGTAATTAGACATGCTGAGAAGGAAGTCATCAGAGGAGAAGAAAGGCAACTTAAAAAGGCAGATTGAGCAGAGAGGGAGAGAGGGAAAGAAAGAGAGATGAAGAAGGAAGGAGTGAGGGAAGGAGAGAATGAGCAGGAATGTACACTACACACCCACAAATGTGCCGCTAAGCTATCCAGAGCTGCTTGGCACCATCCTGTCTCCAAGGTCATCATATTGCAGGCCCTATTTTTAGATTCTGTGTGATCCCCATTTCCCTTAATATTTCAGAGGGGATTGAAACTCTGACCTCCGTATGATGGCCTATGGCACCGTCTTTTGCAATCAAAAGCATCTAAGTGAAACAAGATGTTTCCTGTGTCTGTTTTCAGCGTTACTAGCGTGCACAGAGGAAGCGCAGTGGGCTCTGGCTCCGATCATCTCAGTGACGAGTCATATCACGAGCCTCAGCGTCAGCGTATGTAAAATGATAGCGCTGAATTGAGTAACTGCTAAATTGCAGTTGCTAGAATTCAGTGAGTACAAGGATCGGTCAGAAGGGGCTCTGTCACTTCTGTAAAACTGAGCTACTATGTGGGTGAAAAGCAGTGCTGAGACTCACTGAAGGCTTGAAGACAAGGACAAATCAAGACTGACACACCTAAAAGCAAACCCCATCTCAGGCTCCCAGGGTTGCGCCCTCACTCCATCAAAAGCAAAGTCAGGCTCTTAGGTCGGACACCGCATCCTCACGGGTGGTACTATTAGGGGGTACTTCTATAGTGGAGCAGGGTGGAGGAGGCGGGTCCCTGGAGGAGTGACTCCAGGAACACACAAGGCCCCCACCTCTCTTAGCACTGCTTCCTGAGCACACGAGCGGAGGGCCTCCTCTTCCACACGCTCCCTACCGTGCTGGTCTGCCTCCTCACGGGCTCACAAATCAGCAGGATCAAAGGCCACAGACTGAAGAATCTGAAGCTGTGAGCAATAATCAATAATTCCCTCTTTTAGGTTGTTCACCCAGATATTGGAATGAGGGCACTGGGATGAGCGGAGTGGAAGAGGGTGGGATGGACAGAGCTGTTAAAGTCTAAATGGAAGAGGCTTGTAAGTCGGGCTGGAGCGATAAAGTTGGAGATGATGCGTTGGCCCCTTTAAGAGCTTGAGCTGCATCTCATGTAGGTTCCCTTTCCATGCATTCAGTACGGGGTCTCCATGCCTAGGTGAGTGGTGATTGAATGATGGGGCGAGTGGAGCGATGAAACGATGGGTGGGAAATTATTTCAGTGGGATAGAGGTTCTGATGGTGAGCATTTCATTTGATGAGAATGAACATCAAAAGGTCAAAACCAACAACAAATGACCTTTAAAAATGAATACACTGGCGAGAATAGAGGAAAAAGTCTCCTTAAGAAACTCGATCAATAAGGACATTCAATATCTCTATTTCAAAACAGATTAATATATGTTTTAATAAATTAAAGAACTGTCTAAGTTTATGATATGACATTGTCCATAGCACAGATACTAGTAAAAATAGGGAGTAGAATCTATGTTTTACATGGAGATTTTGATTGTAATTTTATTTATTTTCTTTAAATTGACCTGTTTGTGTGTGTGTGTGGAGATCAGAAGACAAGTTTTAGGAGTCACTTTTCTCCTTCTATCATGTGGGTCCTGGGATAAAATTCAGGTTGTCAGGCTAGGTGGATAGCACCTCTACCTACTGAGCCACCTAGCCGATCCAAGACATTAATTTTTAATCCTTTATTGAACAATAATAATTACAGAATAAAACAGGTTTTTTAATTGAAAAACTATACTGAACTAACCACAGCAATGTCCAGGGATGGCAGCTAATTCTGAGGATATAGATATAATTATAGAAGCCAAAATACCTTAAGCCAAATGAAATTATTGCCAATGTTGAAATGTCAACAACCTAACTCAGACTGAGGGGAAATTGTCAAAGCTCTCCAGCTGACAAGCTTTTGGCCACGCCTAGCTTCCATTCTGGGGAGGTCAGCACCTTGAGGCCTTGCTCTCCAATTCCTCTGCAGGAAGGGCAGAGGACAGACATGGAGACAGGGGTGGCGACAAAACTCTGGATTTAGATGCTAGCACCGCATTGGGCTGGGCACCACGCCAAGATGAAATGGCTCTGCAGACTTTTATAGGAAGGACGGGCCAGTGAGAGGTGATGTATAGAGTTGGCAATACAGTGGTGGAAATCTTCACATTGTCTCCCAGGCCCTGACCTCCAGCCAAGCTAGAGTCTTTTATTAGCTTTCCCACAGATATTCAGAATAGATGTAGTGCTGTCTTTGCTTTGCACAGTGCTGTCCTTGCTGTGGACAGCTTGTGAGGGACTGGAAAAGCACAGAGGATCCATGGAAGCAGTTTCTTCCTCTCCCACTTCATGCAGCCTTTTACTGTGTTGTGTGTCTTTCACTGTGGACTTTTTCGGATAACCGAAGCAAACGTAGTCAAATAAAACAAGAGTCCACGTTGACCCATAACTATTATTTAAAACACACTAATGCCTTTTGATATTCAAAAATGCTTCGTAAGTGTTTGCATTTTCCACAATTAATTGCTCGCATTCCCTCATCCTCTCAAATTTGATCATACTCCTGATGTTCTTACAAGGCAAAATAGCAGGCTTCCAATTTTAATATAGCAGCTGATGAGTTATTTATAAAGCAATTTAAAAAACTATCTTGAATCCAAGCTTGGACTCACAACCTTTGTCTTCTATCCAACTAACTCAGCATGCATTCTGGATTCAATTTATCTGCTGTTTTGGCAAAAAAAAAAAAATAGTGGGAATTGAAAATATACTTTAGCTCCTAGGAAATTTAAGAGTTACACAAAATGGTAGAGACAAAGTAATGGACGGGTCATTAGAGGGGACAAACATTGCTGTATACAGATATTGGTAGTGTTTTAAAAATAGAGGCAAGGCTGAAGGGAGAAAGTCAAATAACATAATTCTGTAAGACAGACAAGAAAATATTTCAGCTGCCTTACTTTGCTATTTTGATCTCAATAGTACTTAAAGTTGTCAAAACTTTCCACATTGATCTTTATCTCAACAGGGTTTGTGAGTTTCCTTACAGTCATTTTAGTTTTGATTTGAGTTTGGTTTATATCAAGAGAATTTTAATATTTTCAGATCCTTTCCAGAGAAAGAGACTAATAAAGTCATATTATCTGTCATCCAAAACTGTTTACCCCAGTGGCTTTCATGAAAATCATTGTCTTACTTCATCTTACATACAGGCTGGAGACCATTAGGAATATGAAAAATTGAAATTCTAATAAATATTTACTTAAACAGTGAAATTAGTGCATAAGAAATACTATGCAAACTTATCGAGAACTCTGTCATTTGTGTCAAACAGGATGGGACTGAGTCCAAGGTCAGCAGTGAAGAGTTGTGTGGCTTTAGGTGAATTATTTAGCCCATGAACACTTCAGTTAATTTATATATGCCACATTCAGCATTTTATTCATCCTTAGGGTTGTTTTAAAAAGTATTCAGCTGATTAAATCATTGCAGGTAATAAAATAGATACTTTTGATATCAGCAGTGTTACCAAAGTAACTTATAAATGGCTCAAATAATAAAAAGATGTAATTAGTTTATATCAATTAAAACTTAAGTTCCTTTTCTTTAAGTCACAAACATGTGCATAGCTAAAAGCCCACAGGCTCCGTCTCCATAGGTCTCTGTCTTGCTCCTATTGTAGCTCCTTGTGATGCTGAGCAATTAACCTCTCTGGACTTATTTTAGCTTCCTCACTTAGCGGAAGTTAAGTACGAACTTGAGCTTAGGCGTTTATCTGACAGTGATGAGGACTGTAAGAATGAAGGCATTCTTGTGAAGCATTGCTTGTACGAGCCTCTGTTCTAGATTCTTCTAGTATAAATCCTGCTTGTAGGAAGAAACTCTGTGAATTAAATTGTACCAAAACAAAGAAACAAAACCCAACTAAAGTAAGGAGCATTTAAAAAGGTTGTTATTTACCTGAACATTCTATTTGGTAGAATGTTCAGGTAAATAACCTGAATAATAGCCTGCCCTTATCCCTCCATACACAAAGGAACAGTAAGATACATCAGACTCTTGTTGAATGTAGATTTGCTGTATGTTCGAATAAAATGCATACAGGTAAACAGTCTGATGGCAACTTGTCTCAGTCCAGCTAAGTAATCAGCTAGTTTGGGTTTAGATTATATCTTTATGTCCTTTGTATTCTTACCATTACCTGGTTTTCAAAAATCTGTGCTCAGCTTCCATTAATGTATACCATTGGAAAAGGGGAAAAACATTTTCATAAATAAAGCAATGTTATCTCAAAATTTTCGACACTTTTCTGAGCTGTCCTAAAATTTTATTAAACATGGAGAATTCATTATTAGAGAGCTACTTACAGTAGCTGGGTTGGGAGAATAAAAGCAGTTTGTCATGTGACTTGCTATGCACACGTGACCACTGCTCTTTATTAGCTATTGCCAATACTCACTTCCATGTAACCTGTTATGATGTGGAAATGACATATCCTCCCCCAGCCAAAAGGTGGTCCGAGCCAGTGAAGTTATTTGGGGATGTGCTAGCAATGTTAGGATGAAGGCCCTAACTGGAGGGAGTAGGCCATTGGGATGGGTTCTTGGACCAGCCTTGCCATTGCCTCTCTCTGTCTCTGATCCCTGGCTGCCATGAGGAACCTTGCTGCACCCACTGTGATGGCCTGCCTCACTACAACTCAGGAAGAACAGAGCCAGCTGAACTCATACCTCCTCCTTTAAGACTGCTTCTCTCGGCCACGTGTCACAGCAGTGAGAGGGTCTGACCGGCAAACTGCTTCTCCAGTTCACATTCACGGATGCGCCACAGCAGACATTATTTACTCACAAGCGGGAATCCTTAAAAACCCAAGTGTCTTATAGGCACCTCATTTGGCATACATGTGATCAGAACACAGAAAAGCCTCAGAGTTCAGGTGCCCTTAACACACCTTAAGAGAGGAGGACTTCAACGTCCTGCCTCTGATTTCTACTTTCTTCTACCTGTGAATTCAGCCTCCATCATTGAACTCAAGGGTCTTTTATTATTCCCTAAATGTCATCTTTAATAGATATCAAGTTTCTGGATTAGCATGGCAGACTTTCTGATTTATTTTCCTCTGCTGGGGTAGGAGATCCAAGACAACGGTGTAAGGCTCAGTGTCCATGGGATTACAGCCACAGCAGTGCTCTGAGATCCACCCATCAACCAAGTCAGAGAAAAACTCTTACCTTTTCACCTTGGAAGCCAGGGGCCCCCACTAAACCAAAAGGACCTTGGTCACCCTGTAAGGAAAACACAGAGGTTAATACCATGGAAAAAATAGAAAATTAAGGTTTTAATCTGGGACAACAAGGCCTTGGCACATACATTTCTGATCTTGACAGCCTGGCCCAAGTTCCAACTCTCTTTCTCAGTCCTTCCCACCATCTCGCTCACCTGTTTCAGCATCCCTCCGCTCCTAAACCACTGATTCCTCATCTCTTCCAGCACTTAATACCTGATGTTTTTCCACTTTCATGCTTTTAGTCCTTCCTCTCTGTGTTGTTTTATTTGCTCAGAATGCCCTCACCCCCAAAGTCACAGTCAATTAAGGAGTTTCCTCAACAATTCCACAGGGCCGCACTAAGCATTTCCCCTGTGGTGGAGCTCTGCGTGTGGTGAGACTCCCAGAAAGGCTTCAGTGGCCCCGACCACTCCAGCTCAGAGCAAATCCACTAAACATGGATTAGAGCTGACTTCTCCTTGATGAGGAGCGGTCCCAAGGAAGAAAGGAACAAGAGTCTCCTGTTAGATTTTCATTTGATCGCCTGCAGTAAATCTGTTGCAGTGTGAAGAGGGAGAGTCAAGGACTAGCATAGTTCCTAAAAGACTGGATTCTTTTCTTTTATTTCATCGCTTTACTTCCCTCTCCCAGCTGGGTTGGTGAGGTTGTCTTTAATCCTGCTTGCTCTGGAAACTTAGGTTGAGGAATTACAAATTCATGGTGTGCTTGAGCTGCAGAGTGGAGGCAAGGCTGGCCTAGGCATGTAGAGTGGGACTGAGGCTAGCCTGGGCTATAAAGTATATTCAAGGCTAGCCTGGGCAATTTAATGACACACTTCCACTCAAAATAAAATTAAGGTGAAGGAGGCATGGCATGACAGCTCTACGGGTAAAGTGCTCACTGCACATGCATGACCTGATGACCTTATTTAAAATATCTAAGACCCAAGTGAAGCTGGGTACAGTAGGACAGCGCTGGCAAGATGGAATGCAGAAACAGAGTCCCTGAAAGCTTGTGTATCAGCTAGCCTGGCTTATGCAGTGGTGAGCAGCAAGGTAGAAACCAACAGCGAGAGAACACACAGCACACACACACACACACACACACACACACACATATATGCTCACAAACACACACACTGTATACATACACATGCACACATACACAGTACACATACACACACAAACTCACACATACATCCGCACACATACAGCCACTCACACAGACACAAGTGGTATACATACACACCCACACTCACACACACGCACACTGTGTACATAAACATGTACACACACTCACGCACATACACACATCACACATGGTATACATACACACGCATGCATACTGAATGAAGAGTGCTGGAGACATTCCGGTGCTACGGCACTTGTCTGTCATGCTTAAGGCCTGGCAGCCCTTGCACTGAGGACAAAAAGCAGAGACATGCGTCTATCCTTTTAAAACTTAGGTTTCACTTAAAATTCAGTGGCAGTGAGATGTATTAAATCTTACATCTGACTGCGTTTCTTAGATACACTTTTAATGTGGTTAGTACAGACAGAAGTCAAAAGTGAAAACACCTCAAATGGAGACATCATTGACATCATTCACGTTTCCACTCCCATACTGAGTCGCTCTATCACAGAGAAAGATAAAACCAAGCATTTGATATGAATGCTTAGATCTGATCTGTGGCCTCTATTTGGAAGTCATCAGAACAGAGCTGACCTCTAATTTCTACATTTAATAAGAGAGTAAACAAGCTGTATTTAGCTACTTTAAAAGATGGCATTTCTGGTTCTTAGACTTCCTAGTACTTTTCTTTATAATGATGACTAGGTCAGTGAAGACATTGTCTTTCTGGAAATAGACTTTCATTTTTTTTTTCTGTGTTATTTTAGACACTAAGAATTCAGTTCTGTAACAGAGAGAAAATTTCTAAAACCTTAGATTAATTTTTCTGAGGGTTTCTGATGTGACTTTACGTTTATAAAAGTTTCTGAAATCCAACTGCAAGATCAGGTTTCAAACCAGCAGTCACTGGAATTGTTTACGATTTTGAACTTGCAATTCTATAACAGTAAACAAGACCATCTTGTCATATCTCATCTGTGAGGAGCTTTCCAAGGATCCTCCTGCAGACTCCACCAGCAGCACAGTGCGGTAGCGCATGCCCCAAACTGAAGAGTGCACAAAAAAAAAAAATCCTGCCTTGTAACCCAATGTAAAAATGGGAAAGAGATTAAAGGAAGATGCCAGCATGGCTAAAGAGTGCCACCTCGAAGCAGTGGGTCACATAACAAACTCCCTGGTTGGGACAGCTCTGTAGTAGTGCCTGGTCAGTGAGGCCCCAAAAACAACACCAGTTTTTGTCTGTTCTTTTGTTTCTCCACCCACCCCTGGAACAGAGGACAAGACAGCATGGCTGAAGATGTCACACACCTTGGCTGCAAGATATACAAGAAGCAAGTTGGAGCCAAGCTGGAAACTTCCTCCCTGCTGGCTTCCATCGTGCCTCGATGCCTGATTAGGCAGCTGGGGGCGAAATGGTGTAAGAATGCCCAGCCCTACACAAGATGCTAACACCACCCCTCCAAGGGAACACTGCAGAAGAATACAAGAGCCAGAAGAGAAAGGGCCATGAAAAGCCACCCTGTATGTGCAACACAACCAGTACAAAGACTCAGCAGCTGGGGTCGCACACACCGGCCCTGTCAATAATCAAAGGTGGGAAGGGCCTGTGGGGCCCTACCTCTTACTCCCTAAATACTGGCTATCGATAAATTCTGCGAGCCTGGAAGTCATTGTCTTCAGTTGTGTATGAGTTCTGAGCCCCAAGGCTTCAATGGATGACTCCAAACTATGGCCACACAGACGGCTTAGTTAAATACAGTAGGTCACAAAACACACAGGGATATGAAAAAGAGATTTGAAGAAGAGTCTAGTAGAGAAGGGTAGGGAAGAGTTAAGACAGGGTGCTGGTGAGAGAAATCAGAGCGCATTATATACATGCATGAAATCATCAAATAACGAACTTAAGTAATAAGTAAAAATAAGAAAGAACCTCACTAACTCCTCAGTAACAAAGCAAAATAAAATAAAAACTCCATTTTTACTTATTCTACCAAAAATAAACATCTTTCTCTCAATTGTTGGCTTTTTGCTATCTTTATTTTAAATCATTAGTTTTTACTAAATTTCAAAGTATTATGATGGCATGAAAGGCATCCTGGGTTAGAAGTGAGAAAGCTTTGTTCTATCATTAACTCTGCTGGTCGCTACTCAAAGGTGTAGATGGACCTCTGCTCCCCTCTGCTCTTTACAACTACAAGACAGGATATGAAGGCTGCCTCTCTGGGAGTCACTGTAGCCTTTATACCACGTAAAGACTCTGGAACTTTCCTAAAACGTGGTGTTATCATGCCATACACACACACACACACACACACACACACACACACACACACTAAAACCTTTGAGGTTAAGAACACACCTAGGCCAGATATGGTAGGACAACCGTCTGCAATCCCTGCACTTGGAACAATGGAGGGTCAATGTTATGTTTGGACACACAGAGTTTGAGGCCAGCCTGAGCTACGAGAGACGCTGTCTTAAAGGATCAAATACTCACACAAGTTCACATTCAGCTCCAACATTTTAGCCAGTTCATCCTGTCTGACACAATATCAGGCTACAGCAGGCAATTGACAAAATTAATGAGAAGACTTAAATCAGAAAAGGAAGCTGATGGAACATAATTTGCTCAATTCTTCAAATATTTCTTTGTTAAAATTTAATAGTTTTCTGCTGTGTTCTTTGGCTGTCCAATAAAAAATATATTTTAAGGAGGAAAAATTATATTTTTATTTGTGTATATGTACATGGTGTGTGTGTGTGTGTGTGTGTGTGTGTGTGTGTGTGTATGTGTATGTGTGTGTGTGCTTGAGTGCCCTCATTCACATATGCACATACAGAGACCAGAGGCAATGTTGGGCTTCTCCCTCCATTACTGTTTGCCTTACACTTTTAGGTAGGGTCCCTGGAATTTGGGGCAAGCCCCTAGGATTTGCCTTTCTTGCCTTCCAGTACCGAACGATGCAGACCCGAGCAGTGTCCGTCATGCTAGTTTTAAAAATATGGTTGCTAAGGATACAAACTCAGGTCCTCATGCATGTACAGCAAGCCCTTTATCTGTTCAATCATCTTCCCAGCCTCCTGGAGAACTTTACTTTTAAATATCAGAAACAAATGAAAACATCTTTATTTCATTGACAATAATTACCTTTTCTCCAGAAGCAGCTTGGCCTAGGGACAACCCAGGATCTCCTTTGGGGCCCTGGATATGATATTAAAGAGATGTTTAGTGAAGCACTAGTTACATGTGTGTTATATAACTTCATTATATGTTCTCAGGTGCTACATACAGCACATAGCATTAAATAACACTATTTTGTAACCACGAATTCACAACAGCTTGTTATCACGGCAAGACGGAGCCCATCAGCATCTCGAGATGAATTTAGAGGCGGTCTTTCTTTCTTCAGTGGTGTAGCCATTGCTGAGCAACTCAGGCACCAGTAAAGAGCTTCCCACTCATGCGTTTAAGGAAATCTGACTAGGCTCAGTGGGTCACACACAGAGAAGATGTGAAATGGGAGGGTGATATCTTGGGAGGAGAATACCAGTGGGGAAGGGAAGGGGGTCAGAAAGGGCACTTGGGCATGAAAATGACTAGAACCCATTAAATTCATGTGGAAAACTGTTAATAAAAATATGCAGAAAAAGTATTTTTGAGCTATTTGCTTTTTAGCTTTTCAGCCTTGTTTGTAAAAGCTGAGATGTCTAAAGGCCTCCCGAGTACAACTGAAGGTTATTTTAAAAAAATACACAAATAATAAAGTTTACAGTACCTTTGCTACTTTTGAGACACAATGAGTTATCATTATTATATTAGCATTGGAGTGATAATTGTCTAATGAAAGAAAATTGCTTAATTCAAACCTTAACATTTTAACATATGACTATGCCTGAGTATTATTTTTAATCTTGAAAGCACAGACTGACATTGCTTTTATGATTAAGAAAAAAATAAGAAATTAAAAAAGACGCTCTGTAAGGATCTTCTATTCTGTTGTTAAAACAGACACTTTTCACAGTCAGTGAGCTCTTTTATATTTCAATTTTCAGTCAATGGTTTTGTACACAGTATTAAAATACCTTTTCCTGTGATACTGCTGTGATTGTTCCCACTGAAACTCAGATTGAGCTTTAATTATTCAGTGTGGCATGTTGGTGGCTGGGAGGTGTTTGGGTCTTGGGGACAAAGTCCTCGTGAATGGATAATGAATGCCATCTCTCCGCAGTGGCTGACCAGTCTTTTTCTTTGAGGCTCCTGACTACCACGTACAGGGGCAGCTTGCTGTAAATCAAGCTCCTTTGCCCCAACCCCTTCGGTATTCCACATTATGCTAAAGCCAGCCAGAAGCAAGCCACACTAGAACCGGGGTTAAAATGAACTACTCTTCTTCTTAAACTTCCCCACCTAAGATATTCTGTTGTATCAACAGAAAATAGACGGTTCCAAGTGTTTAAGAGAAATGTGTCTTTTCGTCAAAGTATTTGTCAGACTTAGCAAACATATAGAAGACCCAGTGGAGAATTTTTAAAACTTTAATTTTAAGTTTCCCCGCTATTCTTAGATAAGAATAAGTAATTCTCCACTCCTAGATAATGGTAAATGCTATTTTCACTCTGTATGAAAGAGAGAAGGAACTACATCTTTTTTCATGGATTTATGGAGCTTCTAAACAGCTCACAAGATGACTGGCTAAGAAGAGAGGATCAGAGAAGTCCCACCCACTGATCTTTTCATTTTACTAATTACAAATTAGTAATATAACTAAGAGGTTCATACCATCAGCATTTCTACCATCAAGGCTATAGTGGTACATCAGTGTACATCAGAGGTTACAAGATTATTGATCTAGAAAGTAGATTTTATGATATTTAAATATTTAAGAACCAAACTCATTAAATAGCAAAACTAATGACAAAAATTATAATCTTGACATAGAGTTTCGAAAGTGCAGGCACCCAAGGCACTTGGGAGGCCTAGCTAAAAAGATTTTTTGAGTCCAGGAATTTTCAACATTAGCCACAGCAGGACCCTTATCTCAAAAAAAAAAAAAAAAAAAAAAAAAAAAAAAAAAAAAAAAAAAAAAAACAAAAAAAAAAAAAAAAAAAAAAAAAAAAAAAAAAAAAAAAAAAAAAAACAAAAAACAAAAAACAAAAAAAAAAAACTTAAAACACCTTCAGACTCAGTGACATTGTGTATATAAAGGCGGCAATAAAATCCAGCCAGGGTATCAGTTTGTTTTCTATTGCTGTGATAAAATATTGAACAAAAGCAGCTGAGGAAGGAAAGGGTTTATTTGTCTTACATGTTCCAATCCCAGCTCATCACTGATGGACACCAAGGCAGGAACTCAAGCAGGGAAGGAACCTGAGGGCAGGAACTAAAGCAGAGGCCATGGAGGGGTGCTGCTCGCTGAATGTTCCCCATAGCTCACTTGGCTCACTCTATGCTACCCAGGACCACCTACCAGACAATCCTGTAAGAACCATGACCCACGACTGTCAGAATTTCTATGTCCCAAGTCTAAATGGATAAGCAGAGAACATTCTTTTAACGTGTCAGGAAAATGACATAATGGACATTAGGAATTGCTCACCTTCGGACCTGGCAACCCAGGTAGCCCAGGATTTCCATGGGGTCCCGGAATACCCTGCAAATAGTGAAAAATGCCTCATTATTCTTAGAACAGAGTTTCCTTTGACATTCACATAATGATTACATAATACATCCTACTTAAAATAAACATAAAATAAAAGTTATTTCTTCTGCCACCTTTGACATTTAATCTTCAAAAGAATAGCTATGTTATTCAGATAGCTAAATGCTAGATTTCCATCTTTTATATCAATGTTGCCTGGAGGTGTCGCATTATCCACCACGTCTGTTCACAGCACACAGCCTACTGCTCCACCTAAGCCATGCACACAGAGCCTACCAATGTATGATTGTTTGGTTTCTGCACTCTTCAGCCTGGGCATCCCTTTCTGCAGTCAAGATTTGCATAGGGGATAATTCATTACCTTTGCCACATCTTTACCCATGATTCTTCAAATCTGTTTTGTTCTACCTTCCTTTTAAAACCTTGGACTCATCTCATGAAGTGGCATCTCTCTCCTAACAATTCTGTTGAAACTACTGCACACAAGATTCATAGTACGCTGCCTCCCAGCATTTCATTCAATGGTTCTAATCCAGTACGTAAGTACTGTGTTGTCGTTTCAACCACATCGGCACTTGTGCTATTTAGTTTCAGGATTCAAACATCTTTGAAAAGACACTTCTTACTAGTCTAGTATGCTGTATAGTATTCCATCAGCCACCTGAATGCTTGTCAGTTTGATTGTACTTTACTGACAAATTATTGTAATCTGAATTTAAACTTTGAGTTTATCCCCTGATAACCTAGTTTGTGCCTTGAACTGTGCTCACACTTGACGATTCTCATTGCTAACTCTTACAACCACCTTGTAAGACAGCCACTTTATTCTTATTTATTTATTTAGCTCACAGTACCAGTGAGCACAGAAACTGAGGTCCATTTGCCTGAAAACATCCAGGTCTGCAGTACCTTGTGGGCTGTGTAATCTCACCTCTGTGTTTTCTACACATGCATCTTAATATAACATAGAGCGAGCAATTATTTGTCTCTTCAGGAAAAGTTGTTCTAGGGGGCTCAACAATGTTGAGACTGAAGATAGCCTTAATAAGAATGAAACTAAGATGAAAACACTGCAGTCAGGAAAGCTGGTAATCTTAAGAAAGAAAGGGGGGTGGGAAGCTCTACGGAGATTAATGAATGAATTGTTATTGTAGACTTCAGGATAATGGCTTTAGGAGAAACTTCTTTCAATTATAGTCTGGGATTTTTTTCAGAGAGGAATGACTTGCTGGTTGTGGCCAAATAGGATCAAATTTAGGGAGAGAGAATTGGCAAAGTTGCAACGTTCACGTTAGAGAATTGATTGCAAGGGATGAAAATGGAACTGCAATTTAAGTAACTGGTCTTAAGAAGCAGACAGTTCTCGACTTAGAGGCTAGCACGTGAGGCAAATCAAAGAGACGTGGACATTGGAGAAACCCATGTGTCTTGAGTACAGTTGGAGATTCAGAACCTGAAGGTCACCCTGCTGGGAAATAAGAGCGTTAGCGTGAAGGAGGAAGAGAGCAAAGAAAGGCTGAGGGCAGAACAGCAGGTCCTGAAGCGCCCTCACAGAAGGAGGAAGAATGAGCACTGCTGAACCAGGACATGGAGGACACAGAGCAGGCGAAGATTGGAGGGACGTGGGAGCGCCTGGCAGGCCACCAAATCCAGAGTTTTGGAAACTGCCAAAGAGCAGCTGAAGCACAGTGCGTTGGTCTTGGCCTTCAGATGCATAGTGTTCTGGGGTACAGAAAGCGTATAGTAATGTTTTGCAGAGGTTTGGCTTCAGATTCTCCGTATGATACAGCTCAGGGTATAAGAAAGTCAGTTGCATTAAAGCTATTTGCATCTGTCTTCGTAGTGGACAACTTTATTTTTAGTTTATGGAAGAAAGACTTTCTTCAGCAAAAATCTACATCAATTTCTCTAGGCTTGAAGGAAACTAATTCTAACAGAGCAATCAATCTTTTGCGGGGACCCGTGTAATGTGAGAAACTACTGCGGATCCCTCAGGCAGCTTTTTTCCTTCAGTGACTCCAGGATTTCCCGCTGTAACCCAGGAGGGCGCTACTTTAAAGCAGTCTCATCCTCTTCATTTCACAAAGTTAACCTTAGGCCATGGATATCAGTTTATAACTAAGAAAGACATAAGGAGCCAACCAGAGCAGCTGCGACTCTCTAAAAGCGATCCTATTCTTTGACATTTCTACGGAGGGTTCTTCGGGCTGCCTACATTCATGCGAACAAGAGTGCGCTGGAGGAGCTAAACCTGAAGGTTCAGGTTTCCAGAAGGATAAACATGGGGGAAAAACAGCAAGAAACGGGGTCCGTCTACTCACCCGTGGGCCTCTCTTGCCTGGTGGACCTGGGATTCCCATCGGACCAGGGAGACCCTTGGGAAGAGAACATCAAGGTGTTAGGAGGGGTAAACAGTAAGCGTGTCGTTTCTTACAAATCTTTATCAGATGCCTACTCCATTCCTTTCCTTCCCTCCCCCTTCCCTGCTCCCAGCTGACAATGGTTTCAAAGCAACATTAACCTGTTACGCAAATCAGCACGGGTGAGGTGAAACTCTATCACTTCTCCTCTTTAATCTGGCCAGAAATGGCAGCGGGAAGTCCATAGCTTATAGTTAGAGCCATGCTATCTGGTTTTCACAGAGAGTATAGCTAGTAGTTTTGTGGGTGATTTTTATCTAAATTTATTTTTATTGTGGAAGGAGAAATTCAGCTTAGGGCTGGAGCTCAAGCACATTTTTTTTTAAACACACTTCAAAATAGCACTTTAACTTTAGAAATGAAAGAAAGCACTAAACATTTTGTGCTCTTTTAAAAAAATTACACCAAGGATCTGAATGCGTTAACTTGTTACAACGAGGTGCTTCTTATAAAGGCATAATGAATCTGTCTTGTACTAAATCTGACAAACCAGGGGCTCACTAATAAAGATAGATGACTTTATAAAGCAAAAGTAGAGGGGCTAGAGAAACGGCTCAGTGGTTAAGAACACTGGCTGCACTTGCAGAGGACCTGGGTTCAGTTCCTAGTACCCATTTGATGGCTCAAAGCTGTCTACAGCCCCAGTTCCAGGGGTGCAGTGCTCTCTCCAGCTTCTGCAAGCACCAGATATCCGTGCAGTGTCCCTACAGAAATGGATGCAAAACACTCATACACACAACATTTTGTAACAAATATCTTAAATGAAAAGATAGTCTACAGTATGGGAAAATATTTCAAAGCATCCATCAGACAAGTTAGTAATAGAATATGTAAGAAGTTTTAAAAAAATCTCTCAACAAAATAATCTCTGAAATTGGACAAACCATCTACATGAAAATCTCTAATAAGCATGTGAAAAATATTCAGTTTCTCCAGTCCTCAAAGAAATTCACTCAAAACTACAAAACTACATTTCCCCTCAGGTATTTTTTTCCAAAAAGAAAAACAAAACAAAAAAAAAAAACAAAATACAGCATGAATGAATAAAATCCTGTCAACTTTTGTGGGGGTGCAAACTAGTATAGCAATTACAGGAGGTAGTATGTACATTACTAAAACCTAAAAATAGGTCTATCTCACCATCCAGCTATCCTCCTACTGTGTACATATACTCAAAAGAAATTAGCATAGGAAAGAGAAACTTGCTCTTCCCTGTTCATCACAGCACTACCAACAACCAATACAAGAGGGAATCAATCTGGGTGCTCACCAGGAGATGACTAGGTTACAAAATATGGTATGAAACGGAAGCAAGGAAATATTATTGAGCCATAACAATGAGACCTTATCACACAGGTAGAATTGGAAGATACAGAAAAGTACCATGTATTTTCACACAAGTATAGAAACTAAAATTATAAATATAGCAGTGTCAAAGAAGGGAGTAAAGTGATTTCTAGAGGTTAGGAGAAGGAGGGTACATGGAAGGAGGCTGTATACAAAGGTACTAGTACTGAGGAACAATGCTTTGGGTCTTCCAGTACAGTGGGTGGCTAGTTTATGATAACATATATTTCATGAAGAACTAGAAGACAGAATGTGAAGGCTCTAAACACACACACACACACACACACACACACACACAATGATATGGAGGCAAAAGTACCTAATAGCTTGATTTTATATATTATTGGATTATTACACTGTGCATACATATGTTTGTTTATTATGTGTCTATAAAATTATAAATTTAAAAATATACTATGAATGAAATGTATGGGGATGTAGATTTAAAAAGTGCTATCACCTGAAAGTAGGAAAGTGGCCAGGTTACAGGGCTTACACAGAAACATCAAGAAGTAAGACAGCCTCTTCAAGTTCACATAAATCTGCTGTTCATTCTCCCCCTTGCGCTCTATAATCTACTTTCAGTCTTGCACAGTTCTGAAGACTCTCCAAGCTCAGCTGTAGCCTTCTCATCAGAAGAAAGGATTCCCCGCCTCCACTCAGTTCCCATTCTTTAACTCCTCTGTAGCTCTTAGTAATTCTGATCAATTTATTTTCTCCCTGGCTTTTGTAATAAGCACATTTTTTTTTGCACCCATTTCAACTACTCTGCTTTCTTCTCCTACAACCAGAAAGCAAAATTCCGCTGCTCCAGGTCTTGGCCCTCCTCCACAGCTCTCTGAAAATACTGCACAGTCTTATCATTTCAACTGTAATTGACAAGGAAGACTATCAAATTTATACCGCAGCCTTGACTTCGCTTCTTCAACTCTTTCAACGGAATTACTTATCATCTCGTCTTTTTCTTCTGGTCAACCATCATCTGCTGCTGTTAAGCAGATTCTCATCTTTATTTTCAGCATTGCTATCACTAGCATTAAATCTTGACAACAATCTCTGATTTTCTTTCTTTTCTTGGACCCTAGATCCAATCAATGTCCAAGCTCTATCATGTATCTTCCTTTAAAATATCTCTCGAATCCCATTTTCACTTCTGCAAACCCTAATAAAGTCCCGGTCATACAACATAAATATGGCACCAAGAACTTCCGATCTGTTTTGGGTACCTTGGCCAGACTGACTTTCATATGTTAATATTCTTGCTTAGAAACCTACAAAGTTCCTGAGAACAAGCTAAGGTCCTAACTACCAGTTTGACTGTTGAAGACGCTCCCTGATGTGACACTGTCTCGCTTGGGGTTTTTGTCATTATCCAGGCTAACATAAGAGAGTTTGGCCTTAGAGACAGAAAATCTGCATTCAAATCCTCGTTCAGTCATTTACATGCCATTTCGGCCAGACAATGAACCCCTCTGGCCTTCAGTTTCTTTCACTGAAACATGAGGACAATTGTACTAATGTCACAAAGCTCATTCAGGAGAATGCACATGAAGGGCTACCTGGAGCATCACTCATGTCAATGAGTGTCAGCAACCACTCTGTCTTCCCCTTGTTGAGAAGTAAAGTCTGCCTTTCTCATGTGTATTTACTCCTTCAGGCCCAGCGAGCGCTACATCATTCTGTCATAAGACCCTGCCACAAGCAGTGATCTGTTTGGGATCTGCTCCCAAATCTTATTTTTCACCCCAAGCATTTAGCTTATGAGACTGTGTCTTTCAGCAGCATATGATTTGATTTGTTTTTAACGGCGTGTGTTTGCATGTATGTACGTGTGTGTGCATGCGCGTGTGCGCCTTCAGTGGTCAGAGGCTTCAGATTCCTTTGGAGCTGGGGTGGTAGGTGGTTGTGAGCTGCCCAAGGTGGACGCTGAACTAGAGACTTAAATGCAGTATTCGCTCTTACTGCTGAGCCATGTCACCAGCACCCAACAGTATGCACCTCGCTTCACCGCAAGATACAGCCACACATGTCCAGTAGTTTTCTTCTTGAAGTATAGGTTCCTTCAGAGCAAACACTGCTTCCGCCCCGAGCTCAGCAGAGACTAAGGAAACGTCTGCTGAACACATTATTGCTTTAAAAGTCATCTAGTAACTGCTTGGGGCTCTACAGACAGATTAGGAGATAAAAATGCTCATTCCACTACACTGACTTGCTTTCTGGGGAAAGCAAGAGGTACGTATTTGTTCAATCCTACCTCTCAGCAATTCAACAGTACCAATATGTTGTTGTTATTTATCAGTACTGCAAAGAGGTTCATTCTCTACATCAGAGCATCTACTGGATTTACTGTAACCTCCAACAGTTTGCCTTAGGAAGAGTTGCTGAGAATACAACTGCCTCAAGTAATAACCACAGGGCAGCACAAGCTGAGAACATGGCATCACCTGAGCCCAGTCACAGTTTCTAGAACTCAACTAATGAGTCAAGTTGTATTTTCACTAAATAAAGAAGTGTCTTGGTGGTAATAGAGCGATGGCTCAGCAGTTAAGAGCACTTGATGTTCTTACAGAAGAACTGGGATTGGTTCTCAGCACCCACATGGTAGCTCATACAGTCGGTAACTCCAGGGGATTGGTTGCCCTCTCTGGCCCCCATGGTCACCAGACATTCATGTGGTATAGAGACACCTGCAGGCAAAACACCCACACAATAAGACAATAAGATAATAATAAAAATCAATGCCGTAGGACATGTTTAGTAAACTGAAAATTTTGAAATATAATTCTAAAGATATACAGGCAAATTAAGGTATACAAATGTCTAAAGACAAAAACAAGCAGTTGCAACACTGATTTCAAATGAGTTTTTAAATGATCTTAGAAATTTTCAAATGTTCAACTCCAATCGTATCCGCATAATGGAAGAAATTGAGAGCAGGAAAGTTCTGACCAATGCTTCAATTTTCTTTGTATATTATCAGATTGGCTTGGGGTTTCCCATTGAATAGGCTAATCTTTTTGTCCCCAGAGTGGTCTGGTTGTCAAAGTATTTTTATAGAAGGTAGGTAGAGCTTATATTAATCCATTTGTAAGTTGGCTACGTCATTAAAAAGATAATGAAATACATTATTCACCATGGAAATGAAAATACGATAACATTTCCAGCAATTGTCTACAAAATAATGTCTATATCAAAACAATTATACTTTGCTAGTCCATTTTGATACAGGAATTATTTTGATAAATGAATTCTTAATTGGTATGTTCACTATATTTTCCCCTAACCTAACTTTTATATGATTTTTTAACATCACTAGGAATTGGGTGCATGTTCTTGATTTATATGAAGAAATATAAATCCATACTTTTCAGTTAAAATCCTGGTTGGATTTCCACTAAATTAGAAAAACCATATAGTCTCCTCACCAGTTTGCCCAGAATTAAGCAATGTTTCAGCCTACCAATTTTAAAAAAAATGTAATTTAAGGCAGAGTTGCTCTCTGGCTGATGTGTTAAAAATATGACATCACTCACTGTGGCAGGGTACATTCCTTAGACAGATCTGGTCTGTCCTGTGATGTATGGTCCAGATACCTCTTTGAAATACATGGTAAGTTAGTACATTAAGACATAGATTTTGAAAAAAAAAAAAAAAAACAACCAACTTACGGGAGGTCCAGCATCCCCTTTTGGCCCTCTCAGATAGTCCATGTCAAGCATTGCATTATAATCCTCGTAATAATAATAACCATAAAGTTGGGTTTCATAGCTATTTTCACTGGGATAAGTAGCATCTGGGTAAAGTTCATCTTCCTTCTTTAGTTCAAGGTGGTTTTCCACAGAGGTCCCATGTGTCACTTTGTACAAGGTGGTATTTAGAACCCGTTCCATTTCCATCAGTTCGTTGGTGTGTAGACTGGCTGAGAGAGCCTTGAGATTAGTCATTGTGTCTTGCTTCGTGTGTGCAATCCTAGATGGTGCCTTCTTAGGCAGGGGCAGACCAGCTGCTTCCTCCTCGTGGTGGGTGACGTCATCTGATCCAGCTAAGGGAGGACTAGATCTCTCCTCTGTACTCATTCTGGTCTCATTAGAGTGGTGATGGGACAGTGGCAGGTTTAAATCTGTCTCTTCCCGAGTGGTGATTTCTTGAGCTTGAACTCTGTAGTTTGGAAGAGTCACAGCCGAGATGTTTCCTGGATGGAAAGAAATCAAATGAGACCTTGGTGTCTGGTGCTCTTGGCTTTCATGTACTGTGGCAGAACTATTATTTCTGTTATTTGGAATGCTTTTGCCATCTGCGCATGTCTTCTGTGGCACTTCTGTTTCACCAAGTGCTTTGGGCAAGGGAGTGTGTTCTGTGAATGTCTTCTGTGGCAATTCTGTTTCACCAACTCCTTTGGGCAAGGGCGTGTGCTCAGGGTGTCTGGTTGGAGTTACTGCCGTGTGAGGGAGGATTGTTTCCTCTTGGGATGTGTTTGCTGGGGGGCACTGCTGTTTCACGTATCTGCAATAGTCGGCCGATGCTGCTGTGGAAGGAATGATGTCCAGCTGGCACACCGTCCCTTCAAAGTGGGCAGAATTATTATTCATACTTCCCAAGGTAAACACACCATGAAGGTCAAAGGTCTGAACTTCGGAAGGAGTCTCTCCACTGAAATATCTCTTTCCACATTCAGCAAACATGGAGACAACTCGGTAGCTAACAGTGATGGCAAATGCGTGCCATCGTTCGTCATGGACACTGTAGTTGAAAGTTACTGATTGCTTTCCTCCAACATGCACCATTAGTTTCTTAGGTAGCAGCTGCACTCCTAATTGCAGTCGATTGTTATTCCGAATGCTGAAGAGAAAGGCATTGTTCGCTTTACGTGATTGCAACGCAATCAGTATTGTTAGTGGCTGCCTTAAGCTAACTGGCAAAATGTTCGCGAGAGGTGACTCAATGAATGCATTATTTTTCAAGATGACACCACATTCTGTGAAATGGACCCCCTGAGGGAATGGTGGGGATGACGGCACAGCCATCACTGATGACGTGTATCTTACATCTTTGCCTCCAAGGCCTAGTTGATGAAGAATATCTATGCCTGGAAATGAAAAGAGAGAAAGATAGAAAGGCTCTTACTCTTACATATTCATACAGATGTTTGAGTATAAAAACAAAATTTTCCAATCAACATAAGCATGTGCTAACAATGAGTAATTTCTAGGTAGCAAAAAGTAGTGAGAGAGGTCTTAACCCTCAACAACTTGAACGAAGCAAGTGTGCCATGTTCTTCACACATGGCTTTCACGATATCACCAACTAACCATGGCAGGGTTACTTTTTCCTACTGAAATTGTGTGGTGGGGAATGCCCTCTACACTTAAACTGGGACCCTTCTGTAGCTGTTTCTTCTGAAATGAAACATTTTCTTCTGGAGGGAGCAAAGGCGGCTCTGCAGGCTCCCTGCAGCCTCACAGGACCCACAAGATATACAGGCAGGACCATCCATCCACCGGGACTAAGAGGGAAGAGACTTGAGTGGAGCTGTTTCAAAGCTACACAAGAGGTTCCAGAGATGCAGTTGTCATTGCCCATGCTGGGGATGACAGCCTGAGTCCTCTGTGCTCCTGGAAGGTACTAGAGTAAACTCCTTTATTCACTAAGCTGGCCTTGGGTAGGTGTGTGTGTGTGTGTGTGTGTGTGTGTGTGTGTGTGTGTGTGTTTCCATCATTGCCTCATGAATAGATATAACCTTCCTAGGCAGAGCCATACAACAACATGCTAGTTTCAATCTGTCATAGACTAAGCACATCTTGGGGGCAGAAGTTCAGAGAAAAGAGAACAGAAACTCAAAGATAGAAGACACGTGTAAGAGAGATTGGGGAAAATGGGAGTAAAGGAAAGAAGACAGGAAAGTAGAGAAGGACAGAGAGAGAGAGAGGACAGAGAGACTCCATTTATAGCACAAGCTCTTTAATCTTTAGTATAAGTTTGGCTTAGATATCACTAAGTTATAATTTGGAGATAGCTATTTGGTACTAATAGATACAACAATAAGTAAGTTGTCTGTAATGAGTTAGTGTCATGAGCAGCCCTAAACGCAAAATCAACCCAGATTATTAGTTCATGTCTCTGAAGAAATTAGTTACCACTTGGGGAAAAAAAATCAGATGGTGCCAGCAATGCACTAGAGTTGCCTTGATCTCTTAAAGAACACTGGCGACATTTACTAAATTCTTTCTCTGTACCTGGTACCTCTCTGAGAACGTTACTGTATTGTCATACTTCTCAAAACTCTATATGCGGGTACTACTATCACTGCCATCTTAGTTATGAAAAGTCAGAGACAAATTCTATTTCCAAGACCATGCAACTAGGGAGTGGAGGATACTTGTTGAATACAGACTTGAAGAATCAAACCCTTACCTCAGTGACTTTCAGTATTTTACTCCACTTTACCTAAAAGCAGAACGGACTATTCCCCCTCCCTCTATCTGCTTCTTCAGTGTTGAATAAATGGTGGTATCGCCAAGACAACAGCCATGCTCTCTTTACTGTAAACAGCAGGCCTAATGACGTCATTCAAACCATAGCTGCAACAACCACATATTCTGACTCACAGCCCTTGCTTCTGGCTTTGCACAGCCAGCTGTCTGCTGAATTTATTCAGGAAAAATTACATGTCCCCAAAGCAGTTCTAACTCAATATACTATCCCCAAACTTCATTTGTCGTATTTCAGTGGTTCTGTCAGTGAAGAACCCCACAACCACAAGGGCAGCCAACATAACCTTTCTGCAGTATGCACGAGATTATGACACTCCTCTGGCTCAAGCCTTACAGTGGCTTTGTATGGCACATGAAATCTGTGTCATCAGTTCCTGTCTTACGGCTCTCACCTCACTTCCTGTTTCATCTCGTCTTATTTTACTCCAGAAAAACTTCTCTTAGTGTCTATACTTACTGAGCTCACTCTGAGCTCTTAATGCTTGCACTTAATAGGCCTTCAGCTTTGGAATACTAAACACTTCGTTCCTCTGTCTAATTTTAATCGGCTGCTTTTGCAATGGTTAAAAAATTCATAGTGAGTTTAACATATTTCTGTAAGTTCTGTGAGTTTTTCTCACATTTTGAAGTGGGGTATGGCCTTGGAGAATCTTTGAAAATTGAGGCAGTTCTGGAAACGATGCTCTTACATGCTCACCTTCCTTCCTTCTGACAGCTGCCTTTTCTCCAGCACCCTCCACTTGACTATATTGATTTTTTCTAAACATTTTGATTGACCAATGATTATCATATTTTAAAATCCCATTGGTTCAGAGTTCCACTGACAGTATCTACCCCCACTGAGCTTTACTCCTCAACAGAACTGAGCTCAAATGCCACATTATTTTAAATTTCATTTTTATCTTCGAGGCAGGATTTTACAGTTTTTTTCCCAGCCTGGTCTCAATTCCCTGACCTTGAAAGAGTCTCTTGACCCAAGAATCCAAGCATAGGACCATCATTGTATGTACCATTCCATCCCCCCAACCTTCCCCACCCCACCCCACCTCCTGCTGTACTGCCCCTTCTACCAAGGAGAAAAAGGAAACTGTGAGGGAAATGGAATAAAGTAGGGGGCTGGATGAAAGAGGACCTGAGGGATAGAGAAGCCCAACACAGCAGATAACACTATGGCTTCTACCCCTGCCTCTCTATGAATACAGTGACTGGTAATTAAGTCCACCGGGTGTGTATTCCATGCCTCAAACATCCAGATGTGGTAGATTCCAGATCCAGGAATCTACATTTGTTTTTCAAATACAGAAATCAAAGGCCTGCCAAATCAACATCCCATCCCAAGTTAGATGAACAAGTAATAAATGACTATCCCTGAAAGCTTAGAGATGCTTTCTAGTTCTTAGTAATTGCAATTTAAGTGTTTTTTTTTTAAGTTTCCAAGTTTTAGAGTCTAACAAGTTGCAGAGTAAACTCCTACAATTAAATAATTAAATGGATATGCATTAATTCGAATTAATTCTCGATATTTCAAATTTTCATACATCTTGCCTAGCCAAGTCCCAAACTACACTCTTTCGGACGTTGCACTTATGCCAAATTAAAAATAATTAAAGTGATTGTCCCACATCCATTTCCACAGTCAGCACTACTAGACTGGGGAGCTACTACTAATAATCAACTTTTAAAAGAATGCATGAAGTTGAGAGGTGTATGGTCGATGGTCCCTGGGAAGAGTTTGAGGAAGGTCCTGGATTTGTGGATCACATCATAATATGCTGCATACATATATGACATTTTCAAAAAAGCAAAAAAATATATATATTTTAAAGTGATTGTTTAAAATACAACCATCAGGAATATAGCATTCAACATATTTTTCTTTTCCTTGTGAAATTTGTATAAATCAACTAGATTATCTTTGTACATTCACTTCGCAGGCTCTGTTTTAGTCACTTCCAAGCAGTGCCAAAATCGTGACTCAAATATAAGCTTCCTGGCTCCAGGTCACTGAGTTGAGGAACTTAAGGAAATGATTTATGATCAGTTGCTTTGACTTGTTCAGTGCCTGGAGGATATGGGAAGAGAAGTGGGTCTAGACTGTGGTCTTCCGTTCTATGAAAACATATCACAGTGTCATCATCCAAACATCTTACATGTGTTATCTCCTTTCATTCTCCCTAAACCACACATAATTCGATTCTTATCTTCATCTCGATCCGTTAGAAAGAAGGCTTCCTGTACTTCAGGAATTCACTCAAGGTCACACAGCTACTTAGCAATATAATCTGGACATAAACCAGGGCTACGTCAACAGAACACCTGTGTCCTTAAACACCTTTGGCACAGCTGGTATGTTAAAAGCAACATTTGTTTCTCTAAAGTTTTCTGAATGTAAGTAGCACATTTATTCTCTATAAACAGATTAATGCAACTTATTATAAAGTGAGAGATGAAGCTTTGAGCTTCATATAAAAGTTGTTGATGGAGTTCAGAGGGTAGAGTTGCTGTAGTGGGAGTGAACAGCCTCCATGTGACATTAGAGTAATGTTCTCAGGAGATGCCCTTCTTCCAGACACGGACATGTCTACATGTGTTTTCACACTTGGGGTCATGAACCAGAGACATGGTGCCATTTGAGAATTAGTTACATGTTCACTGCATCTCTCTGCCACATCTCCCTGGCATCTAGTGACAGTGATGAGAAAAGGTGGCTGCAGCAAGCGGAAAGATAACCACACCAGCAAGCCCTCAGAAAACTTAATCTTCTCTACATCACTTCAACTTGCAATAGGCTCAGTCATTCACTAGGTCACACCCAACACCAGGCTAGAAGGCAAATATAGAACTCCCATCTATTAAAAGGATAGATAAAATAGCTTTTCTTCGCTCTGCTAAGACTTAAGAAATAACTGAAACTGTTAAAAAAAATCACATAGACTTTTAATCACATAGATTTAATCTTGAAGAGCTTTTAAGGAAAAGAAGGAAATATGGTTCAAGACAAAAAAGTGGATAATTAGAAAAGACATCAGCAGACAAAAGAAATTAACAGATTTTTAAAAGTGCATTAAAGAGCTGAAGACAACAAGCAACAACTCATGGAAAAGTGCTGAAAGGCTCAAGAATGGGAGGTACAAGTTCACTAAATTCTTAGGATTTGAACTTGGAGTATTGGGATAGTGGGAAAGAGCTAAACATTTGTATAAGAAACTCTGAGACCATAATAGGAAAGCAAAGCATTGAAATATTGACCCAGTCATAGCAGAAGGTACAGAAGTAGCACATGAAGAATAAGGGAATCAGGTTAAGAGATACATAATACATTGGGTGGCAATTCTGTCATCCATGACCCTTTTAATCACTGAACTCCGATAGTGGCAACCACCACGTCTTTATCCTTCATGTAAAATTGGGGGAGAGCATCCTCTCTGCAGACATTTCATCCATTCACATATTTGGGTTGCAACAACCAGGTGGCCAGCCAAGCTCATCCTTCAGCACCCTAACTGGAGGCATCTCAGATGTCAAGCCTATTAAAATAGTTCCCAAATATATTTTTGCCTTGTTATTTTTAGATGATAACAGAAACAACTGCAGACTCTAAGAGAATATCTATTTTTAAAAAAAGATCAAAATAAAGAAAAAATTGGAAGACAAAAAAGGTAACACAAGAAGAAAAATTCAAAATATTATTCTCACCCATAGTGAGATTAGAGTAGGATGTGCACACAGGAAACAGAAACAAGTTTATGAGATTTTTTTTTGTTTCGTTTCATTTTATTTTTTTGTTTGTTTATTTGTTTTTGTTTTTAACAAGGAAGAAGGGAAAGCTGAGGGAGGAAACTGTAACATTTAGGTAAACAGAAATGAAAATGTTTAGAAAACAAACTCAGGAAAGGCTCTCATCTAACCTCAAACAAAGATGGAAAATAGGACCTTAAAGTAAGAAAAGGAAGAATTCGATTTTGAAGGTCCAAAAATGCAACCGAAATTGCAGAATAAAAGGAATTCACTAGAAATGTGGACTGATAGAAGTAAATTTCCAGAAAGTGAATGGCACTTCCACACTGAAAAGGCCCACTGGGTACCCAACAGAATGAAGAGGCTCTCAGCATGACACATTATTATAAACTTCAAAACCAAGAGCAAGTGATTATAAACACCTCGAGAAGAGGATGAAGGGGTCATAAGTCAACTACCAAGAATTACTCTGTCAATTTTATCAACAGCTCTTCATGCTAAAAGATCAAGAACCATGAAGGCCTTTCAATTTCAGAGAAGAGAAAACTTACAGAGTAAAACTCTCTACTCACCTACACTGACTCCCTTCCCTTGTGAGGGTTAGACAGACAGACGCCTTCTAAGTAATGCACTGCTGTAGAAGCCGCATTAAAATAAAATGCGCAGAGGACTATGGTATATTTAGGGAGAAAATTTTTTCAAAGTTGTCTTACAATTTGTTGTAACATGAGAACAAATAACTGATAATGATATAGATACACATAAAAGGAGCAATGGGAACAGGAAAAGGAGTGATATTGAGGCATTATTAATAAAAACTGTATACAGGTCAATGAAAGTAAACTATGATAGCCAAGAACTTATGGAATTATATTGAGGTGATAGGAGGGGAAGAATGAGCACAATATAAAACATTAAATTCTCATCGCCCATAGAACTCAATAAAATATTTAGGTACATTATAAATAAAACAAAGATCAAATTGAAAAGGTGCCAGAGAGTCTCAGAGTAGGTAAAGGTAAAAGATTTGGTTTCCCAGTGCAACTTACCTTTAAGCCATATACTTGAAGTACTCTGATACTTATTTTTAAGTTTTAAAATGTCTTGTAAGTACAGAGACACTCCTGAGATGTCTAACTTGACTAGCTCAAAAAGAGATTTGACCATATTAAGGTTGCAAGTCATAATTGTGCTCCCTGTAAAGCATACATTTTTTGATAACCTTTCCCTTTTTAAAGATTTATTGGCCCCTGTGTATGCATGCCACATGCAAGTGGGTGGCCCTTGGAGGCCAGAGAAGAGTCAGGTGCTCTGGACCTAGAGTTACAGGTGGCTGTGAGCAGACCAAAGTGAGTCCTGGGAACAAAACTCTGACCCTCTCGCAAGTCCAACAAACACTCTTTTTATTTTCTTTTTTAAATTTATTTTTTGTAAATTACAGTTTATTCACTTTGTATCCTAGGTGTAGCCCCTTCCCTCATCCCTCCCAATCTCACCCTTTCTCCCTCATCGCCTCCCGTGCCCCTCCCCCAGGCCACTGATAGGGGAGTTCCTTCTCCCCTTCCCTCTGACCCTTGCCTATCAGGTCTCATCAGGACTGGCTGCACTGTCCTACTCTGTGGCCTGGCAAGGCTGCTCCCCTTTCAGGGGGAGGTGATCAAAGAGCCAGCCACTGAGTTCATGTCAGAGACAGAACCTGTTCCCATTGCTAGGGAACCCCCTTGGACACTGAGCTGCCATGGGCTACATTTGTGCAGGGGTTCTAGGTTATCTCCATGAATGGTCCTTGGTTGGAGTATCAGTCTCAGAAAAGACCCCTGTGTCCAGATTTTTTAGTTCTGTAGCTCTCCTTGCAAACATTCTTAACCACTGAGCCATCCTTGAAGGTCCTACTGACTCTCATCACGTGGGTCTGTTAGACAGGGCACCATCCCTTCATTTGGGTGCCTCCCTTCTGCAAACCTTTCATTTGTGATGTCTTTACCTGTCATTCTTGCATATTGTTATTTGGCTGATGGACTCAGGTGACAAGCGGCTTGTTGAGTTTATTACTAAATTTAAAAAGCTGACTGTATTATGAAATGGGCAGCTTCGTTGCATCCTGCTACACAAAAGTCAGAGAGAAAAACAACTTTGGGACCACACTGCTAGTGTCTTAAATCCAGCACACTTCCTGGATTTTCTCTTTGAAAAAAAAATTTGAACCTTTGACAAAGCCACTATTTTTTCACTTTGAAGCCAGAGATATTTTTGTATTTATACTTCAATCAATGGATAGTAAGATATTTCTTGGGAAATAGATACTATAAAAATGTTGTTTAGTAACTGAATAAAATAGGATATACAAAGATTTCTGAGTGCAACTAGCTAGCAGACCAAGCCAACCCACAGGAATTAAATAATGCTCTGAGCCTTCTAATATGCAAAATTCGCTCCTTAATGATGCAAATCCAGGAGGAACATTTATTACATGCGAGTGTTGTTTCAAGAAGGGCAAAGGTTATTCAGTTACAGTCTGCCACCCCCAAGAACTCCCACTTGAAATGAAGTCACAAGCAAAGCCTTTTTACTGTACAAAACTTCCCTTTTACAGAGATTTTGCTTAAAAATGTAAGCAATTTCACAGATGGAAGATCTGAGCAATTTCTTAAAGGTCGTATTTATCCCCCAAATTGATGTTTTTTTGTAACCTCATATCCTCCTGACACTAGCTCTAATCATTTATTATGCTTTAATGCTGGATCTCAGGTTTAGATGACTTAAAAAGATGTGCCTGGCTGCTTCAAGCAGAAATGTTGTTTGTTTGTTTTATTTGTTTGTTTTGAGACATGTAGCCCAGGCTGGTCGCTGACTTGCTACATAGCCAAAGCCGACCGTCCCCGATTGTCATCTAGTTGGGATTTAGAATCACCATGGAAATAAATTTCTGACTCTGTGAGGAAGTTTCTAGAATGAGTTAACCGAGGTGGGAAGATCCACTCTAAATGTGGATGGAATGAAAAGGAGAAAGCTAACTGAGCACCCACATGTAGATACAATGGGAGCAGCTACCTCTAGCCAGCTCCTCCATCCAGCTTCCCCTGCCATGATGGATGGCCTCCTCAGCCAGCAGGCCCAAATAAACACCTCCTTCCTTCAGTAGCTTTTGTCATGAATTTTGCCACAGTAATTAGAAAAATAACTACCATACTTGTCTGGACCTCCATACCTTCCTGTCTCTTTTCTCATTGTGCCAAGACTCCAGGCTTACGTCACCATACTCAGCTCAGAAACACTCTTAAAAAACAAGTAATAAGATAATTCCCCTACCTTGCCCCTGCGCACGAACAGTGATCCACGCCACACATAGTACAATGAAACGAAGAAGTGGTTTCCTAAGGGGGAAAAGCCAACATTAGACGTTTACAACTAACAAGTCACACTGCTGCTAACTCAGGGGTGGGTAACGTGGTATAAATTTGCACGTCTAATGAGTTTCCCCATAAAGCTGCTGATGATGATTGGAGGGTCGTGGAGGACCACTGCTTTAGGGCAAGTGATGTTCAAGAGCCAGTCTACACACACGGTTTAGATGGGTTTTTTACTGTATGCTAGAATCATTCCAGACTTGATAGACTGCTAATACTTTGCTTCGTCTCTCCCCTCCCACTAAGATTCTGGTGTCAGGATGTCCATGGTACAGGCAGTGTGTGTGCATGTGTGTGTGTGTGTGTGTGTGTGTGTGTGTGTGTGTGTGTGTGTGTGGACACCTAATGTTTTGGTCTTAGTTATTCTCCACCTTGCTTTTCTAGACAAGCAAGGATCTCTCACTGACTTTGAGTTCACTGATTCGGCTACACCAACAGGTCAATAAGCCCCAGGGATCCTCTTGTCTCTGCCTCCTCAGCGCTAAGATGACAGCCGCAGGCTACTGCACCCAGCTCCTTCCAAAGAGGATGCTTGGGCTGAAACTCAGGTCCTCGCACTTGCTCAGCAAGCACTTCACAGACTAAGTTACCTCCAACCCTAGCTCTGTAGCTTCAAATATTTGCCAGGTGGGCCAAATGGGCAAAATTGATTTGAGGACCATTGTTTGAGATTAATTTCTGCACATTACAGAACCCAACTTTCTCAGACACTTAATAAAACTGAGCAAGCATAAAAGAAGCCAATATTATAGTCACTAAAATTTGATAAAGATTTGTAAATGACAACCCATGATATCTACTAGGATGTCTAATAAACTGTCTGGGTTCAGCCCTATAGCTTCACCTTTAGTTATTCAGTTTAACATCCGCCACATTCAAAAGATAACCATCCAGAGTAGCAGGGGAGGACCTAAATTTAGTTGGAAAAACATCCAAAGACCATCCTCAGAACAGCTGAGGAACTAACCCCCTTCCCAAGAGTCTCCCCTAGATGTGGCTTAAGGAGCGATTCAGATTTCTCTTTGTCATAGAAGTCCAGGTTCTTTTGGGAGATTGCCAGCAATCTTTCTTTAGGGTACTCATGAGAGCCTTAGGATTTATGATACATGTCTCCGGGCTACCGCTATTCATCCCTACAAAGAGGATGTTTACAATAGCAAGAAAGGCTTGTGAGGTCTTGTGAATAGCAAACTTCTTGATGGTTTGGTAGCTTTCTCTTAAACCAGCAGAGCTGTGTGAGAAACACATACACAACACACATCGAGCATTTCAATAGTTTCCCTCGGTCTTTATGCCAAAAATGTCTTCGTCCTGACAGCTTTACAGGTTCTGTTTTACTAACAGCTAAGACTCAGAAATAGTAAAAATTTCTATTTTTCTCAAAATAACTAATTTATCCACAGTGATTTATCCACAGTGAAGCCTCACAGACTGTCAACTGAACTCAACATGTCTGGCTTAAAGAACCTCTAATTCGAGGTGCTTGAGCAAGTCCTGAATGCAGGGAGAGTAATGCTGAAGGACTTCAAGCAGAACTAGAGCCTGGAGTCAAGTCAGTAAAAGGGGAGAAAAACACAGCCAGGCTTCTTATAATACCGGCAGTTGTTCAAGTAGCCCACGCCAGCCTTAGAGATTTTTGAACGAGCGAATGAACCTACCCTCAGTTAATAAGACCTACAGATGGCCCTTCATCCCTACAAAACTTCTGCCAAACTTTATCTGCACTCTGATTCCAAGCTCAAGGAAGTCAGGTGCTCCTGCCCACCATTTGTCCCACTAAGAAAGTTGTACAGTCTGGAGGCATTTCGTTCTCTTCTGTTTCTCTCTTCGGCTCCAGCTCCTTCTTCCTGGAAATGGCACTCAAACATTGATTGCCCTGTGCTAACACCTGAACATTTTGATGGACTGTGGATGGAAAATCCCATCCTCTGTCTGCTTCAGTCTCTTGTTTTCTTTAGTTGAACCTTCCTTCAACTTAGAAGCATTCTACCTCTCCCTCCCCCTTCTCCTCCATCCTTTCTTCTGTCTCTCTCTCTCTCTCTCTCCCTTTCTCCCCACCTCTTCAGGATTTCCAGATACCCTTCCTGAGTATGCGCTTTTCTCATTGTTTCCTTTGCTCCTCTACCAAACCCTCCACATTGTTAGGGAAGCAATTGTGTTGCGTCTTCAACCATTCTATTCCTACCGCCTGGGATCAGGTTGGACTCTCCAAAGTTGATGTTCAGTAAATGTTAGTTGAAGAAATGATAAGTAAATGGATGGCAGGATAATGTCAATCTTTTGTAGAATGAAAAAGGAATGGTCCTTATTTCATCTCTCACCCAGAGGTATACATTCTTATATAAGATCAGCAAGACACAGCGATGCATGTCTAGGTCCTTCAATATAACTTTTCTCCTGGGATTTCACAGATTACCAAACAGAAAACCTACCCTCAAAATTACTTTGCACACATTGTACTTTTTCTCCCTAAAATACCCATTGATTTTGAACAGTTATTTGAACACTCAAATAACTAAGCAACTTAAAGAGTACTTCATATCAGCTGGGAAGAACATTACAAACCTTTTCATTACCCAGGAGACTTTGTGATAACCTCGTTTTGTTTGTTGGTTTGGCTGTTGTTTTTGAGACAGGGTCTCTCTTACACCAGCTGGCCTGGATCCTGTGTAGGGAAGGTGACTTGGGACCTCTTCTCCTCTTGCCTCTACCTCCTGACTACTGGGAAGCAGAGGCTAATGCCACACATTCACAGGAGGTTTATGCAGTGGGGGGGCATAAACCCTTTATCCCATGCGCACTAGGCCAGCAGTGCAGCCACTGAGCTACACAAACAGCCCCTGGCATGGTAACGCAATACATCTAACACCTTCCACACCTTAGGTTTGTTTAATTATTTCTACAAACTCACATCAAGTAATCTATTTTCAGAGCAACCCTGAGAAAGAAAACGTCTGTACGGATCCAATTTTTAAACTATAAATATTTTTGGGTGACTAACTGGGAACTTCCAGAACATTACTACAAAAAAAAAAAAAAAATGGCAGTAAGTGGAAACCTCAGGCATCTCATTAGGTCTGTGAAGTCTAATTCATCGGCTAAGGGAAGACCTCGCTAAAGCCCCGCCCCCTTTCCCAAAGTGCTGGCTCTGTTTTCAGATGAAAGAACTCTACGTTCTTTATGGCACTTCTTTCTAGAAACAAGTTTCTTGATCCAACCCCTAACTACTTTTGCTCCACTTTGCATGTGTGTGGTTGGAGCTATGAGGGTCTACAATCTGGTTAATTATGGGTTACCCTTAATTATCTGCAGCCCATACCCACTGGCTCCTGCAATGGAACAAGTTCGACATCATGAGATATTCATGGTTGGCCAGGCTCCTGGTCTCAGGCCTGGATGGGGATCCTCTCAGAGATTAAGGAAGACCAGCAACTTCATCCAGGACCTGCTATCCACTCCAGGACCTCTCCACAAGCCTTTACTGGCCCTCCTCACCAATCTGCCATGTGCCATTTCTTCAGAGGGTGCACCTTAATTATCTGCAGCCCATACCCACATAATAATGTGTGTGCAATCCTATTTAGTTTCTCTGTGCCTCCCCCCTATTATCTGGACCCAATACAAACCCCAAATTGCCTAAGAACATATTCAGCGTCAGTTAGGGGACCCTCTAGAAGATCCCTGTAAATCATAAAAGACAGGGGCCAAGGACAGACCCATGAACACACTATGGGAAGTATTTGTTGGCTGCTTGGGCTAGGTACAGTGGCTTAGAGAAAGCCCTTGCAGCAGGAGTTGGCATGAAGAGAGGACCTTGGAGTTTGAGTAGAGCTTGGAGGCCTTCTACAAAACTCGAGCCTGCCCAGGATTATACCCCATAGCACCCCGGAAGGATATGAACCTAGAAGGTGCTCTCAGTCCTATAAGATCCGATACACTGGAAGATCCAGCCAGTGGGACGCTTATCAAGAAAAGCCGGATCAAAGCCTGCATCTGTGTGAGCCTCCCTGGAAGAGGAAGACCACAGGGAGAGCTTCTAGTATCTGGGTATACTGGGCTCCTGGCCCTGTGGGGTACACAGACAGGAGCCCATCCTAAGTGTATACAGGCTGTGTTGTGTCTCCCAGAAAAGGGGGTGTGCCTGGAGGTGCAAACTGCCCTGCAGCAGGGAGCATTCACACAGGAAGCTTGCAGAGGTCAGAGCAGACAGCACGCTGAAGGTCCTGCACAGAGTTGGCAAGCACCACGCACACAAACATTGCCACAAGGCGGGCTTTCTCCACTCCTGCCTCTACCACCAGCGCTCAGCTGACTCTGGAAGCTGGGTCCCTGGCTTTCTCTCACCTACAGCTCAGCAGTCTTCCTCCCTGTATCTCAGGGGGCCAGATGCAAACCTGTATCACCCAGTGGCCTCTCATAGGGACACTCAGGCATGCAGCCAAGGCCGGGAACCATCATCCTCACTTTTTCCCCCAGCGTAGGGATAGGAGCAGGTACCGTGTTTAAAGGGAAGATGGACCGCTCTCAAGCTCTGCCAGGAAAGGTAGGTCCAGCCTTCACACCCGACCTTCCCTGACTCCCTACCCTATCCTGGCTCTGGGCTGCAAGCACCACTTCCCCACTGACAGAACATAAGTCAGGGGCCTTCTGAGAGAGAGAGAGGTGCTCCAGACCCTGTGAGCTGAGCAGTTTCCTGATTTCTAAGCTCTGTAGATACTCCTTCTCACCACCTGGCAACCTAGTCCCAAACCGGTGCTTGCGGGATCCAAAGGACTGCTAGAGTCCTAACAATCACCTCCCCCTGAGACAGCGGGAAGGACTTCAGCCAGGGCTGGAAGAGGAGAAGTGGAGGAGGGTGAGGGTGCGAGGGGAGTTGGAGTCCAGGCGGTGTCAGAGAGGCTCTGGAACTGCCTGGGGCAGTGGCCGAGGGGATGTTGGGACACAGGCCAGCCAACTTTTCCTCCCCAGCCACAGGATCGCTTTAGCATAAACTAAGACTCGCTGGCAGCAGCCTGCTTCCTTTCAAACACGGTATTTTACAAGTCGAGAAGTCAGGAGGAGGATGCGGCAGCTCACCCGCTCCCAACGCCAAAATGTACCAAGAAGCAGGACCACAGAACTCCAGCTCCACGGTGGATGCAGTGGGTGGAGAGAGGGGGTTGGTCTAAAGCCCCTTCCTCCCCCCTCAGGCGGCGGGTGGGCTACTTACGTTTTTGTGGTGGGGGAGACCTTTCCATGCCTTGTCCTGTAGGCTCCTAAATGCATTTGTATGCATCTGTCCCTGCAGCAAAGCACTAACGGAAAACAGAAGCCAGCTCCGAACTGCTAAAGGTGTAGGTACTGTCCATGCAAAGGGGGAAAGTCACATGAGAATCGTGCTCCAACCCGCAGGACGGAGTGTGGGGTGGGGTAGGGGGGATGAAGCGCTGTGGACTTAAAAAGCAGCACCCGGCGGGCGGGGAAGATAGCTAGGATGCTCCGAGCCTGGCTGCAGCGTGCAGCCGGAGCCGCGCTCCCCTGGGGAGACCAGGGCTGAGTGAGACTTCACCCTGAGGCAGAGGGGCAGCGGCAAGAGCCGAGCTGGGTTCCTGCAAGCGCAACCCTGGCGTTCACTTGCGGTTCAAAGGAGACTCCAGTAGAGCTCTGAGCTTTGGGCCTGGGAGGAGAAAGGCGGGATGGGGGGCGGGGGTGGGAAGAAGGAGATGAAAGTAGGGGAGGAAGTCGTTGGGACCAGCCTGCGCCCAAACATTTGTCAAACAAGCACACACACCCACTTGGGAAATCAAGTTGGTGCGAGCGGCCGGCGGCAGCTGCAGGCGCTAGCTCAGCGTTGACTGCCGGCCGCCTAGCCGGGAAGAAGAGGAGCCTAGTAAATCCGGCTGGTGTTAAATTTCACCGCGCACTGCCTTGCAATGACATCACTAAACACGGGCACACCTCCCCCCCTGCCCCGCAGCCTTCCCCCACCCCAACGCTGCCCCGCTGCCCTAGTCGGCCAGACTACCAAGGTCAGGCTGGGTTAGCGGCACCCTGAGCACTCCTCCGAGATGCACTCACTTCCTAGTTGTAGGTGATTTAGGGTCGCTCCTTCTTCCTCTGTGTCCCTGTCACAGTCTGGTTCGCATTTCTTCTCCGTCCCGGGCTTTTTCTTTACTCTTTCCCTATATAGCTGGGATCCTCCTGCGCTCAGCTAGTTCTTCATTCCTTTCCTACCCCATCTTGCTTTCTTTGAAGTTAGCTTGCAGTCCCAGTGGTCTAATTAATTAAGAGGACCTGCTCCCACTGCTGCCTGACTTTAAAAAACAAAAACAAAAACAAAACTTCATTTACTGAACACCCCTTCACTATCTCTATTGACTTTCTCTCCTGTAATTCACCTTTCCACCTAGTCCCTAACCTTGACTCCGTTACAAGTCTAGATTGGTAAAGTGCACTCACCCGAGGGCATGCTGTCACAAAGCCTTCCACCTTCCACCTCCAGTTTCTGTGACAGCTTTTGAACACGAGTTCCTATCTTCCCACAGTTCTTTCATACTGGACAGTCCACCTTATGAATTTGCCAGTAATTACAGAATTTGCCAGTAATAAAAACATTAAAATACTCTCACATTACTTTTCTAACTGATAAGTGTGTAAATCTGGAGAGACCTGCATCTAGTCTTGGGCTGACTGCTATGCTGTCAGCATCTACCACTATGTGACATGCCTGTTGAGTGACTGCTGTGTCACAGACAGTTTCTCTGTGTTTTTCTACTCTCTGCCTCCTCAGAGAAGGTCTTCCCCTTGCTGAACAGGAGCCCACCTCGCAGCAACAGTGAAGGGTAAGATCGGCCAATTCAAATAATTGACACTATTCTCAAAGCATATGATTTTCTTGAGGACTGACTTTGATTTGTCTTCCTCTCCTTCAACTTCTAACTTTCCGTTTTGAAATGATGCTACATTGTTAGAAAAGTAGCAAAAGACTTATATTCCTGCTGATCCTTTCTCTGCCAGGCCTCAGACTCCCCATAGAAGCTTCTCTGTAGAGGAAGAACACATTCATCTGTGCCTTTCTATTTCCAAAGAACAGACTGTGGAAATGCAGATCAAAGTCAAGCACATAAACCTAAGTGCAGAACCACAGAAGACAGATCCCAACACAGGGGATGACAGCTCAAATGTAACAGCACAGTCCTTCCGGAGATGTGCATTTCATTTATCCTCTTAGTAAATTCTATAAAATACATATTGTCTTTCATCTTCTTTACACAAAGGAGGAAATTAAGTCAGGAAGAAGTTAAATCATCTAAGATTGTAATATTGATAGGACTCAAACCAGTTCAGACTGGCTTTGGGTACAGTGCAAATTTCCAATATTCCCTTCTTTCCTTTCTTATTCATCTCTACCTACTTACTTTTATCTTTTCACAAAAGTTTTTAAGACAAGGAGTTATGAAAATCACATACAATATTCTACCTGGATCATTATGAAGATGCAAAATTCTATGTGTGATAGAACTGATGACTTTAACACACTGTAGAAAAAAAAAATTGGATTCGTAACAGCACTGAAACAATTAGCCAAAAATACAAAGTGTATTTTCTTTAGCGGTGAGACCCTTTTAAAGAAGAAGCAAAACAATAACAACAACAAAGCCATTTACATTGATCTGTTTATCATCAAGTGTTTATGGGACAGCAATAGGCTGTCAGTGATGGGGTGGGGTGGGGTAAAGGGAAAAGATCAGAACTCTCTGGCCACCCAGTGTGGCCAACAGTGAATGCTGAGACTATCTCACTGGACAAGGTGCCAGGTGATAGTAGACGAAAAGAGATGTTTATGTCCAGCTATACACATATGACACATGGGAATGTATGCTTCCATGCTTCCTTTTATATGCATATGGTACATACATCTATGTGCGCACACACACACACACACACACACCACCACCACCACCACCACCACCAATAAAAAGTATTTTTAAAAATATGTTTACCTGGCTAGGGAAAGGCAGATTCTTAAGAGCTAGGCTTCAGGACAGACAGACAAAAGAATAGTTAGCCATAGCCAAGCTTGCATAATTACACTGGGATTAGTCTGCGGGGGGGGGGGCACTATATTTGAAATGACATGTTAAAAGTTTATCTCAAACAAAAACAAAAACCTTCCAATGATGTTCTTTTTACTCCATAATCTGTTAAGGCCAACCAGAGCCCCCTACTGGGACAGTGTTTTAGGAGGGGCAGAACTTATACCTGAAACTAAGAAATGGCATGTTCAAGTACACAACAAGGACATTTGCTCAACCATGTTTGTAGCAGCTTTATTCGTAATAGCAAGAACCTGGAAACAACCCAGATGTGCCTCAATGGAAGAATGGATACAGAAATTGTGGTACTTTTACACAATGGAATACTACTCAGCAATTAAAACCAAGAAAATCATGAAATTTGCAGGCAAATGGTGGGATCTAGAAAAGATCATCCTTAGTGAGGAATCCCAGAAGGAGAAAGACACACATGGAATGTAATCACTTATAAGTGGATACTAGACCTATTAGATAGGATAAACATACTATAAAATCTGTACACCTAGAGAAGCTAAGCAAGAAAGAGGACCCTGGGTAAGATGCTCAATCCTCACTCATAAAGGCAAACAGGATGGAAATCAGAAGACAGAGAAAACAGGAAAGAAGACAGGAGCCTACCACAGAGGGCCTCTGAAAGACTCTACCCTGCAGTGTATTAAAGCAGATGCTGAGGCTTATAACCAAAATTTGGGCAGAATGCAGGGAATCTTATGAAAGAAGGCAGAGACAGAAAGACCTGGAGGGTACAGGAGCTCTGTAAAGAGAGCAACAGAACCAAAAAATATGGGCCCAGGTTTTTTTTGTTTTGTTTTGTTTTTTTCTGAGACTGATACTCTAACCAAGGACCATGCATGGAGATAACTTAGAACCCCTGCACAGATGTAGCCCATGGCAGTTCAGTATCCAAGTGGGTACCCTAGTAAGGAGAACAGGGACTGTCTCTGACATGAACTCAGTGGCTGGCTCTTTGATCACCTCCCCCTGAGGGGGGAGCAGCCTTACCAGGCCACAGAGGGAGACAATGAAGCCAGTTCTGATGAGACCTGATAGGCTGGGGTCAGATGAAAGGGGAGGAGGATGGAGGACCTCCCCTATCAATGGACTTGGGAAGGGGCATGGAAGGAGATGAGGGAGGGAGGGTGGGATTGGGAGGGAATGAGGGAAGGAGCTACAGCTGGGATACAAAGTGAATAAACAATAATTAATATAAAAAAAGAAAAAAAAAGAAATGGCAGGACTCCAGGTCTGCATCCAGAAACAGAGGTCCTCATATTGCCCTCTCTACATAGTCACTTGCTAGCAGATCACTATTTTTTATAATGACATATAGTCAAAATAGAAGTAGTATCCTTCATCAACAAAAAGAGCTGGAATGAATGGCAGAGCCTACAGAGAACTCAGAATTACATAGAATAGTTAGTTATACAGCAATTGGCAGATGTTTGCTTAACAGAATTGAGGGAATTAAGGTTGTAGGGAAGCAAAGATGTTTAGTTCAAATGTAAAGGAAGATAAAATATAATCTTTATATTTAAAATTTTTTTTCTCTCTGTAGTGTGTGTGTGTGTGTGTGTGTGTGTGTGTGTGTGTGTGTGTGTGTGTGTGTGCAGGTTCTGCAGGAGGACAGAAGAGGGTGCCTGGTCCCCTGAAGCTGGAGTTGCAAGTGGTTGTGAGTCACTGGACATGGGTACCAGGGTACCATGAATTTGGGTCCTCTGGAAGAGCAAGAGGTGTTCTTAACCACTGAGCCATCTCTCCAGCCCCATAATCTTTCATTAGCTGTCAGAGAAGGAGGGATAGAGAGAGACTCATGTCAAGAAAGGGAGCTAGAGTGTTTCTCGTGGCCTGGTGTGCCTGTCCTAGAACCAGAGGACTCCTGGTTTGCTCTGCTGCAGAGTAAAGGCAGGTCTGCAGATGAACTGCACCTGAGGAGGAGATTTAGGACAGCTTAATTGAATTAAACTCAATGTATTGACTGAGTGGCAGGTGGGTGCTACATCTGGGGAGAGGAAAAGGGCTTCATGTTTTTGTCTTGTCTCTTCATTCGGTTCTAGTGGGGGCATTCATTGGGCAGGGTGGAACAGAGATAGCAAATGCCTTGTTCCACTCAGTATATCTCACTTGTTTCTAATAAAGGAAACAGCTCAACAGAATTAAAAAAAAAAAAAAAAGAAAAAGAAAAGAAAGTAT